TGCAAATGCAAATTTCTAGCTGAAAGTTTAACCAAAAGGCATTTCCAGTAGAAATGGGCTGACATATCCTGAGCATAACCATGTATAATATCCACTGAAGTTAAAAAGAGGTGCTTTGCAACATTAAACTGCAGTGTGCAGTACGTATGTTTCGGACCATAAGGTGCACGGGATTATAAGGCACATTAAATGGCCTGTATTTTATATAGCGCTTTACTAGTCCCTAAGGACCCCAAAGCGCTTTACATATCCAGTCATCCACCCATTCACGCACACATTCAAACACTGGTGATGGCAAGCTACATTGTAGCCACAGCCACCCTGGGGCGCACTGACAGAGGCGAGGCTGCCGGACACTGGCGCCACCGGGCCCTCTGACCACCACCAGTAGGCAACGGGTGAAGTGTCTTGCCCAAGGACACAACGACTGAGACTGTCCAAGCCGGGGCTCGAACCGGCAACCTTCCGATTACAAGGCGAACTCCCAACATTAAGCGAAACAAAGCAGTCAGATAAATCAAACTTTATTAAACTCATTCTTCTTGCTTCCTCCACTTCTGTACCATTGATTCATTAATGTTGAATTCTCTGGCAGCTGCTCTATTCCCATGTTGTTGCAGTATATTAATGACTAACCTCGTATTGTGGATGGATTATCTCAGTTGTTCTCCTGACTGAAGTTTCGTCCGTTTACAGCATCCTGCCATGCGATTGCATTTGTCTCTAACCATGAGGAACCTTCATGTTAACTTTTATAAGTGGAAAAGTGTTAGTGTTCGTCCTCCAGCTTCACTGTTTATGTTATGCTAACATAGCTGTGTCGCTAGCGATTACGTAGCCCATCATTATATACCAGCTAGCCCAACTTCAGTAACCCTACAAACGTCACTGCTGTTTAGTTTCCTGTCTTCATTTATGTTGGAAGTGATAGCAGAGCTGTACGTTTGAATTTTTTCAGAAATCTCTCAGTCAGAACATGCTATATCATGTTTAGGTAACTAGCGAAACTAGCGAGCTAACTTCCGCTAGCTTCCTGCTAACTTCTAACTCCGTTAAATGTAATACATTTTGTTTTCATGGATGCCTGGAAGTTAAACTTCATAGTTACACCTGGTAAAGCAGCAACGCTGATCGTTTTATTAAAGATGAAAGAATTTAGACAGTTTTTAACTCTCAGTGATGCTGCAGTGTTCGTTTGACCTGAAGTGTACGGAGTTTAGGACCCAGATTACTCCCAGATTTAAGAGCATCTTAGTTCGACAAATACGACAATAACGACAGCCGCTTGCGTGTTCTGCAAAAAAATGTGCTTTGTCGTGTATCTGACGGACAAACACCAAACCAGTTCCACATCACTGAAGTTGCACCATTTTTACAAACCAATTCTGGTTCATCTGTTTCACTCAACAATCGGCCATGTGCGTATGAAAACAAAGGCACTGCGCATGCGCGTTTTACTCATATTCTATCGCGATATTTCATTTTCCTATCGTTGCCTAACATTATACCGGTATTACCGTGAATGGTATAATATGGCCCAGCCCTAGTTTTTACTATATCTTTTCCATATGGGTAGATAGTCAAACTTATGGATCAGATCCAGGGATATGTGAATATTGAATGTGTTATTCCAAAACAAATCTACTACTCTGACTTCTTTCAACTCTACTGAGAAGTCCTCCAGACTTTGAAACTTAGCACTAAAAGGTTTCCCTCAAAAAAAACGAAGTGGTCCCAGGACTGATGAACACTTCTTTTGTGTTTCTGAGCATTTAGCTGTGCCTCCTGTGTTGCGCTTGTCTGAATATCGCTGCCTTTTGTCTGTCTTGCTTTCATTTCAATTCCTGGTTTATTTTAAAGGTTAGTTCTTTTTGTGGATATTTGGGTTTTTAATTCCTTCTTTTATTCCCTTCCCTACCCTTGTTATTTTCTTGTTTGACTTCACCCTGGTGTTTACACAGTTTGCATTCATCCTGCTGGCTCTCTGCATTTGGTTTCCTCTTCTTCAGTTGCATTGGTTTGTTGGATTTTCACATTTTGGCAAAATGTTGTTCAATTCAGCCAGACGAGTCCCTGTTTTTAATCTTGATAATTCCATTAAATTCCCCTGAATGCTCTATTAGTACTGTGTGAATGTTGTGGATGATTGTATGTGCACGCGTGCCTGGCTTTTGTATTTGTGTGTGCATGGGAGGAGTTGGTATTGACAGATGGCCTGCTCTCCGTGAACAGAGAGAAGCTGCTTAATCAAGAGAGGGAGAGAGTTGGCGCTGTCCCGAGTTGCTCTGCCTCCGTTTGATAGAGAGGTGTATTTACTTGGTCACAGCCTTCTTCCTGGATCGGTTCATTGCCCATCTAATCGATGTCTACTCTATTTTTGTACGGCTTTTCTCGCAAAGATTTGTCCCTGATTCTTTCTCTGTCTTGTTTTCATTCTTCCTCCTGATCCCCCCCCAATTCATCAGTGACAGGTGGCCGGTGGCTCCCGTCCCCCTCCTTCCTTTTCCTCTGCTTGTCTTTTGCTGTGTGCTGTCAAACAGATAGCCTGCCAAGGTGCTCCCCATGAATTTCCTGCTCCGGGGTCTGATCGGGCAGTTCTTGGCCGCTTCAGATTGTTTGAATTTTTCAGCCGTCTGAAACTCTCTGGAGGGCTGGGATGTTTACCTTGGGAGCTGTAGATGTAGGGCACAGGCATGGGCACGCTCACACAAGCAGACTGTATGCGGTCCCAATTCAGCAGGCAAATTGGATCATCTGGTCGAAATAAGTTATTTTTTATTGATCCAGTCTTTTGTGGTTGTGTCCTATTTTCAGCTGAACTATGAATAGATTATGTCTGCTGATGGAATGCTATAGATTTAAGGTTTTGGATTAAACCAACCATCAAATATAATTCCTTTATTTTACAGTAAAGTCAAGAGAAAAGCTCCAAGCTAAAGAATGTTATATAAACTTAATTCTCTGCTATTGCGCCACAAAATGGGAACAGAAATGCACTGCACTTGTATTCCTTTATAGCTAAAGACTGCATGCATAGTCTGTGTTTCCCAAAGACTGGATATAAAACTTTGTACTTTCCACTTTATGGTTCTATTTTCATAATGGTTCCTGTATTATCGACATGTAGCCTCGAGAACGAGGCCTGACATTACACTGTGTGGTTTGGTTTCAGGTTTCTGTCTTTGGGAGAAAAATGGTTTGTATTGATTCAGTTTGTTCAACATAAGATGAAATGTCTTTCGTTTTAACCGTTTTGACCCCACTGACCCATTCACAAATCTATATTTCCATGTGCACGCTATTGTGGAGAAACTTTGCTGAACCCACAAAACCTCAGTGTCATGTTGTCATTGTCATGAAGGGAGCAGTTAGCTATGGATGCAAATATGTTCCTATGCACTAATAGCATTTGCCCGATGGCAATAGCTATTAGTGCAAAAAGACCTTTGGTCCTATCAAAGTCTATGGGGAAACCGCTTTATCTCTTAACTTTTGTAAACATTTAACTGCTGAGTTCTTGGGGTCAGTCATTTGATTTGGGTCATACTGAATAAAAAAAGCCAAGTCTCGGTTACACCATGTTTCAAAATTGAGCATTATCCTGGGTATGAAACACGCAACTGCATGACTTGTCAATCACAAGTTGTTTGCCAAAGACTGTGTAGTATCACAGTCAGACCCACCCATCCACATCATATGCATTTTTTAGCAGTCATGGAGGTTATACTGTCTCTGGGACTGACTTTATATTGAAGCCAGTCTCAAGTGGTTCTTCAAGTAACTGCAGCTTTTTCAGTTTAGCTTTATTTTTCCAAACCAGGAAAAGTTTCAGCTTGTACATCTTGTCACTTGGCAGATCTTTTTAGTTTTATAGTTGGTCTCCTGCAGTGAATACTTTCTCTTTAACAACAAACAGCAGAAAAACTAACTAGGTTCTAGCTTTAATGTTTGCCGTGGGTGCTGTTAGTGTACAGCGGTTTATCAAGGAAGGTTGGTGGTTTGATTCTTGGCTGCTGCAGTCTGCATGCCAAATGCCATCGGGAAAGATACTAAGTCCAAGTTTCTCCGATGCGTTCACTGGAGTGTTAGACAGAAAGCATAGAAAAAAGTGTTGGTCTACATAAGGCATGTTTTATAAAGGGCTTTGATTGCTTAAGTAAAGTAAAAAAGCGCTATATAAGAACCAGTCCATTTATCATGGCTTTAATGAAAGTCTAATCTCCCTGACCACAAGGTCAAACTTAAAAGTAAAAGCACGTTTTAGCCACAGACAGTTCAGTTTCCTTAATCTTGACTGTCTAATATCACTCACCCAACAATAGCTGTGTGACTGCTGCAACAGCAGAGAAGACATTATTTTGAAAGCATGCTAGACTGGCTCAGCAAGTGATCAGCTGGGAGGGACTGAGCCACGATTGCTTGCTGGACATGATTTTTTTCAGTTAGCTTGCCATGACCGATTTTGCACCCACGGACCACCTTCAGTCCAATGTAAACGCAGCCAGCTGAATCGAGAGGAAACGCAATAGAGGGCGAACATGGTCCCAGGCAGTTACAAGCTGCTGTTTCTGCAAGAGCCACTCGGGCTAATTGAGCCTCTGTGACAGGAAGCCCCGACGGGATGTTGGTGCTCACTTTTAAGAGGGTCAGGCAATTCAAAGTGAAGCGTGACAGGCACATAGTCAAGTTGAGCAAAGAACCCCTCTGAGTCCTCTCGTGGGACAGTGATAAAAATTTGAGTACTTGGAAATAGCATTGATGCCATTCCCATGGCTTTGAACAAACACACCAGCAGGCACTGGAGAGGCAATTTTAAAAAGCAGTTGAATAACAAATGATCAATTTGTTGGCGGAATGCAACACGATCTTCTGTAATGGTTAGTAGACACCTGACATTCCACACCTGCTCTGCTGTCACCTGATCTCTCTTTTTACGTGTGCACACCGGTCTGTTCCACCAAGGTGTTTGTATAATACATGTGTGTGTTTGCAATTCACAGGACCTCTCCACACTGCAGTGCGATGTGTGTATCCTGGTCTTCTCAGTGACAGACAGGCGAAGTTTTCACCGCACCGCCCAGCTCCGCCTCCTTCTCAGGGAGTCCCAGCCACAAACCCCAATCATCCTTGTGGGCAACAAGAGTGACCTAGTGCGGTCCCGTGAAATCAGCTCCGAGGGTAGGTAGAAGGATGGATGCTGGTGTGTAGTATAACCTGTATGTAAAAAAAGAAAGACCCATGATGAATTCTCACATTCTTCCCAGTAACCTCCCAGTCACCCCTGTACCAACTGTAACAGGGAGCAGATTTTTAGACTGCCTCAGTGCTGAAACTGTTAGCATGGGGTTGTGGTAATATGAATACACATTACTGCAATAACATTAGTGCCTTCTCTGGATTTTAAAAGAAGACACTTTCAACACATAACTAGAATTTTAGCTGTAATCATCAAGGGAAATGTAAAAAAAATGCATTTACACCAGTGCATTCATGATGACTCATTTATTATATTAGCAAAATCCAGGTGTATGGAGGGCCACAAGTGCCAACATGAATTAAATGAATACACAATTAAATAATTTATTAAATGTTTTAAATTATTTGAAAGCCCATGTAATTAATTATTTATATATCTAATTAATTAATTAATTCCCATTTTTAATCATTAATGACACATTCAATTAATTATTTAATAATTTATTTTATTCATTTTGGCATCTGTGGACCTCCGTATTTTTGTGCTGCACTTTTTATTCATTTTGTATTTAGTGATTAATCTAACTAAATCCCATCTTGGATACAAACGGAGAACCTAACATTGCATTCGCAGGGGAATGATGATTTAAAAATGCACGACAAACAAATTAATCAGACATTTTTCTGCAGTAGCTTCTCTCACAAAAGAAGTGTGTTCCAGAGGTTTACTGTTTTTATTGCGAGACTAAATCTGATTAAAGTTTAAAGCGTCAGTGGTGAGCGCAGACAAATATGCAATTCCTTTGAAAATGTACAAAGTCCTAACATCAGCGCTGCAAAAATCACAGAAGCCTTCTTTGTCATTGCTGTTTTCCAGTTTTTAAACCTTTAATCTCTGCAGTTGACGTATCTGAGCGTGACGCAGCTGCCTAACTTTCCCATGGACTCTGCCTCATTTGTAATGTTTATCATGTACGGGCTTATTGGAAATGATGTTTCTGGGTGAATGACGCAAGAAAAGAAACAAATGAAAAATTGTAATGCACTCTCTTTGTCCACTTTCCTTTATTCCTCCCCAAATGTAACATCCTAAACACACAATAGGATCTGGTCAGTACCGATGCTTTCGGTGCTGGTTATAATAGATAAGAATGCCTAAAAGCCCAAAATGAAAATGTTTAGTTAATAGGCACACATTTTCCCCAGAGAATAGTGTGTGCTTTGTACAATTACTCATCAGTCCCTTCTGTTTACCCTCTTCTCTGCCTTGGCTCATCTGTCTCTCTCTGCACGCTGTTTTACCATAAATCTTCCTCAAGGCTGACATCATCTCAATTAGAAGCCGTCTTTGGGGATCTATCTTTGATCAGCAAAATCAATTTCTTCACTGTTTACAATATCCAGGGATTAATGCTCTGTGGTAGACAAAGTTCCCATGAGGAGATCTGTTGCTACAAACTGATGAGATGTTAATATGGAGTAACTATGAAAGCTGTATACCCCAGTTGGCTTTTTAAAAAACAAAAATGTTGTATTATTCTACCGAACTCAATCAAAGTGGGCGTGATTAGGCTTTTTGAGAGTGATGAACAGAATGACTGTATAGTATAAAAATCAAATAAGAAAAGTTGACCAAACACAAGATTTCCTTGGTGGTTGATTACTCACCTCTATATACACAGGTAGCCAAATCAAGTCAAGAAACCATAATTTCATGTTATTTATTGAGTTAAAAAAGCAGCATAAATCCCACAGATCTTAGAGTTAACTTTTCTTTGCTAAACAACCCTGCTGGGCAGCGAGTTTCGCACGCTTTTGCATATTTTTGGCGTTCGGCACTGAAGTTAAATAAATTCAGTGAGGGAGAAACAAGCAATTCTACACTGAATTCATTTGGTGACAATCCACTGAACACAGATCAGACCACGGGCAGGTTATAATTTGGCTGGACTTTTATGGGTGAATTTTTATGAAGCTCTGCCAGGCAAACCCATTACCCGGATTTCATTAATGTTTCAAACAGGAGCTGGGTGAAGAGTGGTGGTAGCTGAAAAAAAAGAGAGAGAAAGAGTGACAGCCCAGTTTGACCTTGATCTAAATTTGTAATTGTGTCATATATGGCTGTGATCTTAAGCCTTCACTGTCATCTCTGCAGTTTCAATTTATATTCATTTATATATTTAACTCCGTGTCCCTCGGCGCTGCTTGATGTTTTGTTTTTTGTTTGTTTTCCAGAAGGCATATCTCTGATTGGATAATCTCCCTTTTACAGTGCACAGCTGCTCTTACAATCTTTACGTATGTTTGTCCTCATCATATATTCACAACTGGCTGCATTTACATCCACATATTAAACGTGCTAACAAGCAGACTCCCTCATCTCGCTCTATCTTCTCGCTGCTTGATGTCAGCGAGGCGGTTTCAAAGAGAGGGCTTTGATAAGAGGAACGGGAAGGAGAGGAGTGACGCAGGGAAGGGCAAATGTACGAGAATGCTGTGCGTATGAAAGAGAGCCTCAATTTGGGGTGATGTGTGAAATGCATAGTGGAGCGGCGCGTGCGCTGGGGAAGAGTGCGGCTTATTTTGCCCTTCAAAAGAACCACTCTGAGTTCTTACACAATCAGATTGGGCATATTTCAGCAGAGGTTATACTGTTTGTGCTACATCCATGTGCCAGTTTTGCCACACATCAATATTGTGAGTGTGCATCTCTAAAATTTTTGTTATTAGGTAGCATTCATTTAAAAATTACTAACGGCCTGCCAGTGTTATTGAATTCTGCTCTTTTTTGACTATTCAGTCACAAAAGTTTTTAAAAGACCCCCACAAGCCGCTGCTGCTGGCTGTGACAGGCGTAAAAGCTAAATTGTCTCATTTGTAATCTGGACGAACTGTCATTGATCGGAGATCAGCTTCACTAGCAGATAAAATGAAAGCTTAAATTGTGAGTCTGAATCAAAGTCTGGACAGAGTGCATGTTAGCCCTTACTCGACTCAGCTTTTAATGCTAAAGCAATTTTGATGTGAACATCCAGTGACTTACTGTAATGTGGAATGATTGCTCGTCCTACCAAACTGTCCTAAAAAAGCCAACTCATCTCTGCAGCTCTACCATGCATTTACTTTTAACTCTTTGGATTGGTTTTATTACTGTAAATGTACATAGATCATTTAAGTGGAACCCAGTGAATAAATAAAACCTTTTCAAACCACTTATAATAAAGCTAGGCTAGATAACGTGTACTCATATCACATAACAACAGAGTCAAAGTAAATATGTGGACCCTGATATTATTTTAAGGACCTGTTGGGGACAAAAGAAAAAGTAAAGTAGGGCCATGAACATGTTTTAAATGAGATGCAAATGATATGCTGATGTGCTAGATAAATAACTTCATGATCTATAGATGGACAGACTCTTTCAAAACTTGAATATGTTTTTGTCAGAAAAGTTTCATGCTTTTTTTCCTGAGTTCGGAAGTTTAACAAATACCCAGCAAACAGAAGCACTATGGCCACATCCACTTGGGGCCCATGCATGATGAGTGTGGGTCTGCTTGTGCTTATGCAGGCTCACAGTTCACCAACATCTGCACACAGGCATGTTTACTAGGTTTGTTTAAGGGATGTTGACACTGGTAAAATAAGATGAAAGGAATATTTTTGATTAAATATGGCAATGTACAATTAAAGACAATCCAACTCTCTCATCTTCATGAGGGAATCTTCAAGTTCGGCACAAATTCTCTTGAGATTACAGTTTGTTGTAGTATCCACACTAAATGTATGGTTACTTATTTCTTCGATGCCTAAAACTCAAGAATTCATACACTAACCTATCTATTATAGCCAAAAGGTTAACAGTCAACATCACAGAGTTGAGCAAAATACATGGTCATGTCATGGTCATGGTTTACAGCTGGAAAAAGACAGAGTGCCCATTTTATGTTGAGAAGTAGTTGCTGCAAAAAGTGATGATCTTGGAGTTTGTTTATGTGTCAGGGTCAGGTAAAAGTAAAGACAAAGCTGTTGAGTTACTAGTCCAGAGCATATATATGTGCCATATTGCACAATGATATAAGTATTATTAATCAAGATTAATAGACTGAGTATTGTGTACACATATTGGACTGTACTTGCTCACATAAAGAACCTAACGATCGGCACTATATCAGCACTGTGTTGTGTTTGTGCTTTGGTGTGAGAAGCAACAAGAATGTACCTACCTGTTGCTATAAGGTTTTATTGATGGGTTTGTTTTGGAGCATTTCTGACCCCTAGTGGCCAAAATATGATATTTGCTGCTTTAATATTAAAAAAACCATAAAGAAAGGGTTTGGGCAGGCAATAATAACAAAGCTTTGAGGATTGTTAGTTGGAAAACTGAATTTGATAAATCAATGTTAGATTTTTATCTGCAGTAATGTCAGACAATAATATGTCAACTACTGTGTGCTTTTAATGAAATTTGGTCAGAAACATGCATTTGGTGTATTTGCATTGTGATATATTTGAAATAACTACACTTATCCTTGGTTATAGATGTCTCTGTATACATCAATAAAATGCAGTGAATGAACAAAAGAGGAATCTAAATCAAATCAATATTTGGTGTGACCACACTTTGCCTTCTTCTAGGTACACTTGCACACAGTGTTTGAAGGAACTTAGCTTGCAGGTTCTTCCAAACATCTGGGAGAACTAACCACAGATCTTCTGTAGATGTAGGCTTCCTCACATCCTTCTGTCTCTTCATATAATCCCAGACACACTCGATGATGTTCGGGGCCATACCATCACTTCCAGTACTTCCAGTACTTCTTTACGCTGAAGATATTTCTTAATGACCTAGTGGCTGTATGTTTGGGGTCGTTGTCCTGCTGCAGAAAACATTTGGGGTCAATAAACAATCATTAATTTTTCTGAAAGCATTCTTTGTTTAAAGCATTTTTCTCACCTGCCTAAAACGTTTGCACAGTACT